CCAGGGGCTGGTGCGGCCTTCCAGGATCGCTCACCGGCGCCCCCCTCCTTGGGGCTGCTTGGCTCTCCAGGATGGGCTGCCCGTGACCTCTGATGTCAGCGCCCCTCCCCACCTGCTCAGTCACCTCAGAATCACCGAAGCGGCTGCTCCCCCAGGGAACCCCGGCTCCCACCCTCACCTCCGCATAAATGTCATCTTCCCGACACCCCGTAATAACACGGATGACTGAGATGACACGTGAAGGCACAAACCTTCAGTGCTTGCTCCCTTGAGCCTCCCCGACCTCCAGCACCTGGCCGAGCTTGGCCTCCTCTTGAACTTGAGGTTACGGGATCCTACAGGGTGAGCCCCCAGGCCTGGCCTCCCCGCTCACCACTGTCGGTGAGACACGCCTCCTGCCTTGTGAGACTTGCTCTGAACAAGTTCTGCCAGGCAGAATTGTTGGAACTCCATCTCTGGCTCTGCTCTGTGTCCGGCCACCTGGCAGCGCTGGGCACGCGAATGAAGGAGCCTGAGAGAATCCTGATGCTGTCAGGATCGGCCCTGTGACCCCTATTCAGATACAAAGAAAGGAAACACCCACCATGGCCCTAATGCCTCCAGCCTGGCCTGTCACCTGGTTTTTGGTAACACTAGCAGTGGTGGCTGCTGTTACACGTGACAGTGACATCATTTTCCAGCCTCTAGATGTCAGTTCCCACAGCAGGGATTTTCTTCTACCTCGTTCACTTGCCCTGTCCCCATCACATCGGGACATGAGACACAGAGGGGCTCAGAGTGACTAGGGCCTTGCCTGGAGCTCCAATTCCTCCCACATCTAGCCCAGAGGTCATTTCTTACTGAACGAGGTTTGTGACCATGTGGCGGGGGAGGCCTTATCTAGTTTTCTAAGCCCTTCTCCTTGGAGCCCGAAGAGCCCTGGTTGGGACCCTTATTATTTAACCTGCCCAGATGGTCTCCTCCCTATGGGAATGTGCCCTCCCCCACACCAACTCAGGGTTCTGGTGGGGCTGCCCATCACTGAGTCCCCACCTATCCCCCCCCCCCCAAGATTATGGCGCCACCAGGCACAGCTCCTCGGCCGTCTGGTCTCAGAGACTGGTCCAGGCAAGAGCCTGGGACACAGCCAGCCAATAAGAGCCCTTCCCTGGGCCTTTTTACCAGGAGCTGGGGTAGCAGAGGTCTTTTTTCTTGGTGTGTGAGGCCTTGAGGACGGTGCCCAGAGCTGTGTTTCACCACAGGGGTAAGGGGAGAGGTGGCAGGTGGCTCTGGGTCCTGAAAGCTAGACTTCACTAACTCCTCCATGGCCTCCAAGCCAAAGGAACCCCTGTTCTGCTTGTGGGGCTTACACCTGAGTTCCTGATACATAGAGCCCCAAAGTCTAAATGGATACGTCCTTTGATGTGCCCTTGAAACAAAATGATAACATGTGAAGGAGAAACAAAGAATCAGAAGAGACAAAAAGCAAAACAAACAAAAAAACAGACCCAAACCCCCGAACAGTGCAGAACCACAGACCCTCAGCATCTAAGGGGTCATCCGTCGATATCCCATTTGAACAGATGGAGAAACCAGAGAGGTTATGAGAGCTGGCCCAGACACAGAAAATTGGTGGCAGGCAGGACTTGAGCACAGGTCCCCTAGGCTAAGTCAGGGGTCTCTCCCATCCTTTCCCATATACTGTTCTAGAATCTTTTTGTTGTTGTTGTCCCTTTTTTGGGCGGGGGGGGGGGGGGGCGCACGCACTGCGCGGTTTGTGGGATCTTAGTTCCCCAACCAGGGATTGAACCCAGGCCCTCGGCAGTGAGAGCGTGGAGCCCTAATCACTGGACCACCAGGGAATCCCCCCATTTACTGTTCTAAATCAAGGGTCAGCAAACTTCGTCTATGAACAGCGAGTATAAATGTTATAGGCTGGGCTTCCCTGCTGGCGCAGAGGTTGAGAGTCTGCTTGCCGATGCAGGGGACACGGGTTCGTGCCCCGGTCCAGGAAGATCCCACATGCCACGGAGCAGCTAGGCCTGTGAACCATGGCCGCTGAGCCTGTGCGTCCGGATCCTGTGCTCCACCACGGGAGAGGCCACAACAGTGAGGGGCCCGTGTACCACAAAAAAAAAAAAAAAAAAAAAAAAAAAAAAGTTATAGGCTTTGTGGGCCATACCACCTCTGTTACAACTACTCAACTCTGCCGTCGTTGCACCAAAGTGGCCACAGAGAACATGTAGGCCAACGGAGTTTGGCTGTATTCCTCATTTATAAGAAACAAAATCTGATTTTCATATAATTTCACATCATGAAATAGTATTCTTCTTTTGATTCTCTGAAACTCATCTAAAGAAAACATTCTTAATTCACAGACTATACACATACAAGTGGTGGGTCATATCTGTATTTTTGCTAGTTTGCAAATTTGGTTTGTTGACCCCTGGTATGGATCCTGAAAATAACAGAAAGAATGTCTGTACTGTCTGGATTGGGGATGATAACATACTGCTTGATGCCTTCCATTCCTCACCCTGACCAGGGCAGACATTGCAAATGGATCAGAGCACTATCTCTTGAGCCCTGATATCCTCAGGCAGGCAGAAGCAATCAACTGAAGATAGTACTCAGGACAGATCCTAGTTGCCTCCTCCCCAGTCCCTCGGCACCACTCTTCTTCCTAGAGTGAAGTTCAGACTCTCTTCCCATGACACCTCTTGATAACATCTTCTCGCCCTGGGACTATTTTCTCTTTTGACTCTTAGTGAACTGAGCCAGCAAGGGTCCTGGATATGAGGTCAGGATTTTAAAAACTGACTTAGCAGCAGAACATTTACCTGAAACAGAATCTCAGATTACATGTATGTACACCATACATGAAATTTGAAAATGATACAATGAAACACATGAAAGAGGTATTAGTACAAAATTACTTTCCAGGTTCAATTTTTTGACCCATTACAAAGTCAAGGATATTTCGAGAATTAGAAAAGTGAGAAGTCTGGGGCAGATCCACTTATAAATATTTACTAAGAGCCTCCACCTGCCAGGCATCCACCCTTAAAAGACCAATCTCAGTGTCAGATTTATGGCTGTATGGTACCGAAAAACTCCTGACTCATGAACGAGTGAAAGGAAATGATATTCACCAAGGAACCTGCCAACAAGGAAGGCCTGTAGGCTGCCTGCCCTGCACTCTTAGCACACTCTTCCAACAAAGAGGGAGGGTGGGGGAGCTTTACTGCAGGGTCCACATGCTGAGGGCTGGACTGGCTGTAGGTCACAAAGCTGATTAAGAATCTCATGAGCCAAAATTTCTAATGAACTGATTATTCTACAGGAGCCAGTGACACACCTGGGGGCTCATGTTTCTTAATACAGTTCAATGATGAAATCCAAATCTCATTTTAAAGAAAACCTAACCACCCCACCCCCACCCCCGCCAAGCTGGATTTGAAACCACTTAGTGTGAAACCCTCATTCTGGAGAAGAGGGTCACACGGCAAGCAGCAGAAGCTGGATCATAACCCAGCCTGGCTCTCAGGGGTGGCATCTACTCCAAGTGCACGTTCCAGCTTCCCCAAGCTGACCTGAACGCCGCGAGGGCCAGTGCCGTGCTCTGCCGTGGCAGCTGCTCAGGGACGTTAGCTGCGGGTGACGAGCACCATTCATGGCACTGCAAAGACCATTTCTCAGGACCAGGGAGAAGATGAAAATGAGAGGCACAGCAAGCCCAGG